TCTCCTGCAGTTCAAAGGTAGTGTAAAATTAACGACGTGCGGAAGCCAATCATGAATTGCACTTTTGTTCATTGTGATCTACCTACACCTTCATTAAGTAACTTGGTAAAGCCCATACGTACATCACACCATCTGTTTAAACTACAGTATGAATAATGTCTTGAACTTGTGGCCACAGGGGTCGTTGATTAGAACCTCGCCTAAAGATGAGCAACTTAAATTAACCTGAGAGGCTCTCCTTGAAATTCAATCTTTGGTGAGGGTGTGCGACTTGTTTTCTGAAATCTTTACCTTATTTCAGACCAAGACATGCAATTGCGATGCATCAGCTCCTTCAGACGTGATCCAACCCTATTTCAGACCTGTAAAATAAGAGCATGTTTTTAAACCCTGACTTCAGCTATTCAGAAATTGCTTCCACCTTTCGCAAGAGATTCAATTTCTTAGATGCTAAAATTGGACCCTATTCTAGATAAAAATTTTCAAACTCCATACCGATATTTCGAAGAAGACGAATCGGAAAGAATAATCTTTAGGGACACATATGCCTATGTGGTTAATATAATGGAGTATCCCACCTTCCTTCTATAGACAAAATGACCTTCAACCTTCCAAGTGAAATTTCACTGGGTATGTGGTTTTTGTAAGAACCCTTTTTAATACAACCACGCCTTTTATGACGTAGATCAAATCTTTAAAAGCGGTCGAATTGACAGGGTTCCAATGTTCCACTATATTTAAACGCAAATAAGTCGCAGCTCACATCGACTATGTTTACACGTTTAACAGCGATTTAGATCACGCTCTTTCCAAATGTTGTGCCCTGTATAAATAACTGGCTGTTTTTCCATCTTTTTCATCAGTTGAACCAAGCGAAATTCAAATTTTTGTTAATAAAGTAACGGTCCAGGGGTCGACAATGTTTTTACAAAGAGGAGCAAAAGTGAACCTGAGATGTGAAACTACAGCGGAACCGAGCCCGTCGTTTTCGTGGATAATTCCCAGGCTATACAATAACATCTCCGCGTACGGACCATCTTGGGTCAGCGGCATCAAATGGCAACACACATTGGTTATAAAAAGCTTGAACTGTCTCAATTCTGGTGACTACAAATGTTTAC